CCTTGGTAAAAAATTCTTTCCATTATTAAGAACGATGCTCAGAATACTATTACATTTCTATCCCCTGTCAAAAAAAAGGAACTTATTAAAGGAAAAAAGGAAAAAAAGAAAAAAACAATCCCAAACACAAGAAACAGAAGAGTTTTGTCCTCACATAAAGAAGCAGGATAGACATTTGAAAAGTCTACTGGAAATTTCACCATGGCCATTGATCTTTCTTATGCAGTGTTCAGGGCAGCAGGTATCATTCATGGCTGTGCTTTTTTCTTTGTTTATATCATCAGCATGTGTGCTTTGGAGTCAGTTATTTGTAGGAAAATGTATGTCTGGAAAGCAAATAAGTGTTTCTTGCTTTCAGTACATCTTTTAAAATGAAATTTTACATGAAAGAAGACAGTATTTATGTCTGTACCAAGTAATGGTTCCAATGCAGAGTAGCAAACTTTAAAAATGTTACTTTAAAAGATGAAATGCAAAGCAATTTCCTTTTTCTTTTCAGTGCGGTTGTTATGTTAAGCAAAGGTGAACAGGACAGATATCAGGAGGTGCTTCCTGTTTGTGCAAACAGATGGCGAGTTGGCATTAACCATATACATAAGATAACCCTATCGAAATATCTTAACCACATGCATCACTTTCAAGAGGACTTTCTGTAAAGCATTTTCTTTCATTTCTTTTGAAATTAATTTCATTAAAATACATACAGATGTGACAGCTATTTGATAGGCTTTCAGGTTTATTTGTTGATTATCCATAATACATAATTTTTAATTGTCAAGCTTTGGATAAGAAGTGCCTTTACAAATTTTGCTATGGCAGGTATGTATATGGGAAACAGTTTGCTTTTCAAAAAGAGAGGAAGGAGTTTATGTGAAAAGAAATGGCGTAACTGGGGTTTTAGCAGGCTGTACAATCAGATACATTTGCTAGCTCTAGATATCGTCCTTATTCTGTAGGAAAGAAGGATACTCCTTTCCTTGTAAACAATATTGTCCCAGACACTGTTAAAAAAAAAATATCAAAAAAGACATCAAGGATGTGACCTCATGAGGCACAACTTCAGTACGTAAAGCCCTGGCAGCTATTCAAGAATGTCATCAATATGGCATTTCCTTACAACCGTGTCTACCATGAAGAGCCACTATTTTCCCATTGCCTTAATCTAAACCGTTCTTAAAGCTCACTCTTTGGTCGTCTAAACTTGTGAGCAGTTTGTTGTCTTTCTGTAACACAAGTTCCAACATCACCAGTGTTCTCACAACCCACTTCTGGTAGTGATTTATCGAAGACAGATAAAACGGTCGCCATGCTATGTGCGTCGCCTATCAGGCAGAAACAAAGTACAAGCAACTGATCCACCAAGGCTTTGCACTGCTAAAACAAAGGAAACTGAATTTTTCTTTAGGTAAAGAATTACAACCTAGGAGTAAGGGAGGGGGAAGGGCTTTATAGGCCTTTCTTGGGTGTGTCCGTCACCCTTCTAGTCAAATAATTAATGAAGCAGTCTTTGTGTCAAGTGTTTTTCCTGATGACATGTGGAAGACTATGCTGTGGACAGAAATAAGGCCCCAGTCACCAACTTGTACAAGATATTTTTATGGTCTGTAGACTGAATTTTTCAGTGCTTGACTCTCTCTAGTAACACGCAGCAGTCAGGACTTCTGAAACCCCTGTGGAGGGTAAGGAGATGGCTGTGCATTCATCTGTGCTGTTGGGTGCTGTGCCAGGGTTCAGATATACTGTGAAACGCGTAAGTATTGTTTGCTGCTTACCCAGTAGAGACTCTCAGACGGTTTAGAAGCATCACTTGAATTTATCAGATTGCCTATCTTCATATGAAATCTTCCCAACTTCTCACAGAGTAAGTCTGTTAGCATGGTGAAAAGATGCTGTGATACAGAAATCACCATTAAATTATGAAGCAAAATAATTTCTGTGACGCAAGGCAGAGTATTGGTCTGGAACTCTCCTTCTGCGCATTTTTTAACTGGAATTTGTGGTGTTTACTTAATTTAAGACACTTTTTGCTGTTTGAGTCAAATTAAAATTCAAACATCTTCATTTATTTCTTCTCTGATAGTCAAGGTTGTTTGAAAGGCTTCACACAGTCACCATCCACACTGGAAATCCATAGCCTTGATCTCCATTTTTTGTGGATCTAAGACATTAGCTGCACTTCCTTATTTTTCCTTAGCTGTATTCTATGTGATTGCCCACAGTACCAGTCCCATACTTCCTGCTGGAGTTCCCTGAATCTCTGCTCTTCTGAGCCTGACTTTGTACATGTCCGTCATGTAATTAGAGGCAAGCCTGTGAGGGGAAGCAATTTTCTTGCAGTTAAGATAAAAAGAACCCTAATGTGCCTTGTTTTGGTGCGGTTTGTAACATAGTACACAGGTAAGAAGTGGACCATAATGCTGGGATTAATCCTAAACATGAGTGTTCACATACCATTAAGAGTTTTGGCCTTTCATACACATTTTTGTTGTGTGTTGGATATTCTTATCTTGTTAGTATAATTAGGAACCGATGGGTTATGTTTGTCACAATTTCCAAAGGTAATTGAAATATTCTGAGGGCAACTGAAAACAATCTTTGCAGAACTGTTTTATCTAATTTGTCTAGGCTGTTATTTCTGGGAGGGGGTTAACAGTTTTCACATGGAACTCTTCTGAATACATCTGTCCACATCTGTGGTTTGTCAAGGTATCTGCTGTAAACCTTCAAAACCAGTTAGTTTTGTAAGCAATCTGCATTTTTTTTTCCACTGAAAGTAATGAATTCTGTGTATGTTAATTTAAAATGTATTTTAAGTTTAAGATAAAGAAGCAGACAAGTCTCTGTAGTGTTAGGTGACAGCACACAGGACGGGGAGGATGCAAAAGCCAAGCTGGAATAGGCAGCTCAGTATCAAAGCTGAGGGCACAGCTGGAAGGGGACGTTTATTTAAGTCTTCAGATACACTGGAATACTGCTAAATTGATAAGTTTATTGTAGATTTTATATCTCATATTCACTCTTCTGTGCAACTTCGGGTGCTTCAAAGGAATGTGTCACAGTCCTGTTGTCATTTTTCAGTTCACCAGTTTAATGTGGATGACCCATGGAAGCATTATTTTCTCCTCCTTGTGTCTTTTCAAAAGAACAAAACCAGCCAAAGCAACATTAGTGCACTGTTCTTGATGAACTGTTGTGCTGGGTCTAGACAACTACAGAGCTTAGCAGACTTTTGAGAAGTCAAAGTTAATGAATTAAAACTCAACATAATTCTGAGTTAGGGGAAATTATAGATGGGGAAGTACAGGACATGTGATTTTCCAGGACCACAGTGTAGTGCAGCATTGTCAGTAGAAGGTCTGAGATCCCTCTCTGCGTTTAAACGACAAAGCAGTTATGTTTACTTCGCTACATTTTGGCTAATGCAAGGCTTATACGGAATCCTTTGCTTAAAACCTCAAGACTTTTAAGCAAATGTTTTATACAGTTCACAAAATAGAGATGTAGATATGTAATCTTGTTTTAAATTCAAAATCGCTGACAGTGGAAACTGTCTTGAAAACCGGTGACGACTCCCAGCTGTAGCACATCTTCACGGGGAAGAATGCGCTGTGGTGTGTAACGGACTGGGATGCTTCCCAGGCTAGCGTTTGGCATCTCCTGACTCCCCAGATGCTTTTTCAGGTGTGCAATTGTACAGCCCCCTCTCCTGTCTGGGCTGCTTGGGTCACCTTTGGAGAGAAAGGAAAAGAACAACAGAAAGGGCAGGAAAACTAAATAAACATGGGTTTGTTTGTTGTTGGTTTTTTTTTTTTTGTCTAGTAGCAGGTTGAGTTGCTGCTGATTTAATTGAGCGGAGAACATGTAGTGCTCTAAGGGTACATAAAGGCAGGAAGAGCCCTCGCTGTGAGAGAAAAGCAAAAACTCACTGAAGAGGAAGGTCTTCTGAGAAATGACAGTATAGAATTAAAATAGAGCAACTAGAGGAAGGAAGTCCATGTCCCATATATATAGAAAGGGAGGGGGGGATCTTCTCCATAGTAACGGAGGAAGCAGGGAAGGAGGAAAAGGACAACACGAACTGCAAATGACGTTTTAACAGATGGTATAGAAAAGAGACATTTGAGGTTTGCTCGTCTTCCTGGCTTGCAGGGCCTAGGGTTTTGGTTGGTCACAAAAGCCCTTAAAAATGTTTGTTTAAGCTACCAAATGAGGGTTAATTATTTTTGGACAATTATAAAGCTTGTACTTTAGTACTTGCACTTTATGTTCTAAACATCTTCTTATGACAAATTTGAAGCTTGGTTGTTAAAAGAAAGTTTCAGTTCTGTGATTTACACAATACCTACGTTACTGCTGTGTTTATATTATTACTATGTAGTTACAAAACATTCTGGTGCTGGAATCCAGCCCGATTTTGCAATGGTCTTGGATACATGGATGTTAGGTGAGGGGTGTGTGTGACTGTAACGGCTGCCCTGGTGTCACAGAAGTGATCGCTTGCGTGAAAATCACAGGTATCCCGAACGTTGGGCTTGTTCTGCGTTTCCCCAGGTGGTTTTGCTGATGCACGGAGAATCTATTTCCACCTTTCCTTCCACACACACACTTCTTGCACGCTTTTCCCTGGATAGCTCCTGCGACAGTCTGGCCAAGCGCTCGCGGGAGCTGCTGTTGCATCTCTTGCCCTCTCAGTGAAGAGAACGGTCCCGCAGCTGCAGAAATCTAGTGCTGTAGTTAACCAGATCTTTCGCCATGGATGTGGAACACCCTTTCCTCCTTATGTTAGCACTCTGCCTTAATTCCCAGCCGTTACTTCTAATGGCTCATAAAGCAGTAGCCAGTCCCAGTTTTGTCTGCATAAGAGACCGCAGCAGTATTTGTTGTTTAAAATGACGTCACTCAAGCGTTTGCCTTCCGTATTACGGGGGGTGGATGATCTCTTTGTTTAAAAATATCTGTAGTTCTTTTTTGCAAAGACTGACAGCAGTGTCTGCTTTCAGGGTGGGATGATTAACTGGAATAGACTGTTTCCTCCTTTGCGTCATAGACATAACGCGAATTATCAAGATCATCACCCATCTGATCAAGACACACCTCCACCTACCGAGGTTTCTGAAGAGCAGGTAAACATTTTTCTCTTTTAAAATGGCATTAAAAAGCTGGTTAGGAATTACCACTACTGAATTTTTTTGTCGTCTGTTGACACAGTTCCTTAATAAGCACGAATTAGAATATCAGATCACAGTTGCAGTACAGAGACAGCAAATTGTCTTTACTGTCCAAACCAGAGTTACAGATGAACTTGGGAGTTTCTGGTTTTACGTGTAACTGCTTCTCCTTTGTATTTAAAGATGAGTCGGTTTCGCTAGCGGGGGCTAATTAAAATCTGATAAAATAAATATTTCAGAGAAGGACAAATGACAGATTTTGTGATTTGTCTTGCAGACACGCAAGTTTCCTTTCACTGAGGTCTCCAGTTTTGTTTCCAGTTCAGTCATGTTGTTATTTGGAAATAAGGATGTTATGCCAGCTGTGGACTGCAACACGTACTTGGTCCAAAACTTGGATGTTTCCCTCAATAACGTGGTTGACTGATTTCACATACTGATGCCACTGAGAAGTTTTGGTCTTTTCCATCAAGTATAGATTTAGACTTACTGTATAGATTTAGACTTCTAGACTTCTGATGGTAGTTTTATTCTCAAAAGAGAGGATGATTTACTAGGAAGGTTAAGAATTTAAGATTAATCTTATTTGTGTATTCAGTATTTATTGCATGCAGTCAAGTTCTCCAGGCTGTGGCCTATCCGCAGTTAGCTGCATTTGGCTGTATTGTAGTCTACGGGCTCTGCTACCCTTGAACAAGAATAGGTTTCAAGGGTGAGTTTTTCTTTCCCTTTTTTGAGGGAGATAAGTCAACACTTGCTAGCACCACCCTGCCATTTCTAGGCAGTTTAAAATGAGCTTGTCCCAAACAGAAATCTTTGCAAAGATCTGATTTCTAGTTTTGATTCAGTGTTACATTATGTTCAGTATGTTCAAAACTTTAACTGCTCTGGTGGTTTTGACTGCAAACCTCCTGGGCTACATCTGAAAAGTTAAAAAAACCAAAACCACACCAAAGAACACCACCTGAGACAAAACTCAGAAACTTAGCGTTGGCCGGGCTGAGAGCCTGCTCAGCGCTGGGTATGGGGTGGACCAAAAGATTTCCCTGCTGGGTTGGTTTGTTTATTTGTTTTATTGAAAAATTCTGCCTATGGGATCTTTTCTTCTTGGGCTGGAACTAATGCAATAGTTATTAGTCTGACTTATGCTGGATTCTCACCCAAAGCCTTTAGGCCCAGGTTTATGAAAGCACTATACGCTTATGTTTTCTCACGCACTGAAGTTGTAGAGCTCAAACGATTGCTGTCATTTGCAGTGCTGCCCAGTTACTCTGCAAAGCAAAAAGTAATCCAAGCACCTTTGATTTCTCAAGACTGTACTAATAACTGTACAGGTTGTCTTTAAGTGAAGGTTTTCTTCTGGTCTTCAGATTGAAATTTGCAATGCTTTTGCTACAAAAAATCTCTGCGTTTCTTGTGGGTTTTTTAGCACCTTGAATTACCGTTACAGATACACATTTTCTGTTTCCTGGAGCTGGATTCAGTTCCTGTGGTTAAAATACACTCGGATGAAAAGAGCTTTTTGCTGTTACAATCAATTTGCTGTGATGCTCACTGGATATTTCTGTAAATAGGAACATTGTAGTTCCACCCGCCACTTCTTAAGGTTAGAATTCATGGCAACGACGGTAAAAGCTTTTCTTCTGAAATGTATTTCTGTGGTGAGCTTTTATTCCACTGCTTGCCCTTTTTCTCATTAAAAAAAACACAGCCTTAGATGAAAACGGGCAGAGGAAACTTCAGAAAGTTATGGGTTATGAAAACCAGTTTGAAGTTACACTGTCGATGCAGAGGTGTCAAAAGTAACAATTCATTTCTCTCTCTGCCAGAAGGTGAGAAACTGACTTTGGGTTTTAAGGGGGTAAAAAGGAGGAAAGGCACAAAAATAGTGGGCACTGTCTTTGGTACTCTGACAACCCAAGTAGCCATTCTCGTTTTCTGACAGCGTGTTTAGATGAAGAGAATGAGAACCCCCACCTCCAGACAGCCGTGGCAGTAGTGTATTTCTCAGTAAGCTGCCAAAGCAGAGAAGATGAAAAATGCTGAAAGTTCTGGAGGTGTCTTAGAGGAAGGGGAGGTTGCTTATAACGGTACCTTTCTGCTAAAAGGCATTTCAAGTACTTTCAATACCAGTGCATGTTGCTTTTGCGCCCTGGGAAGATTCCTCCTGAGGTGTGCAGGGCCTCTGCTGCGTCCTTGCTCAGCTTCGCTCCGCTGCTGCGGGCTCTGTACGAGCAGAGAGGGAGCAGCAGTAACTCCCAGGCAGCTCCTGTAGCCCAGGACTTCCAGGTTCAGGAGCTGTGGTGTCTGGGCACAAGGCCATTTGGAGCAGGATGGGGAATGCTTTATATGGCCACGGTTAATTTTACGTGCCGCTCCCTGTCCCTCCCGGTTATACGGTTGGACTGGATGGTCTCTAAGGTCTTTTCCAACCTAGTGATTCTATGATTCTATGATTCCCCACCCCCCCTTGTTTTTCCCCTCCCTGGAAGGTTAACTATAAAAGTGAGTGAGAGTTATATTGTAACTTTCAGTCATACCCAGTTGAGAATTGTAGATTTTAAATGTACTTTAGATTGGCATTTAACCGTAAATTAAATTTGGTTATACATACATTGCTTTTTATGTGTGGTAATTTAAATATTTGTTAGCACAGAGCAAAAAGGTTAGGTCCTTCCACAACATCAGAAGGATATAGACCAGTTGAAGCGAGTCCAGAGGAGGCCACGAAGATGCTCAGAGGGCTGGAGCACCTCTGCTATGGGGACAGGCTGAGAGAGTTGGGCTTGTTCAGCCTGGAGAAGAGAAGGCTCCGGGGAGACCTTATAGCACCTTCCAGTACCTGAAGGGGCTACAAGGAAGCTGGGGGGGACTTTTTACAAGGGCCTGTAGTGACAGGACAAGGGGTAACGGGTTTAAATTGAAAGCGGGGAGGTGTAGATTGGACATCAGGAAGAAGTTCTTCCTGGAGAGGGTGGTGAGGCACTGGAACAGGTTGCCCAGAGAAGCTGTGGATGCCCCATCCCTGGAAGTGTTCAAGGCCAGGCTGGATGAGGCTTTGAGCAACCTGGTCTAGTGGAAGGTGTCCCTGTCCATGGCAGGGGGGTTGGAACTGGATGGGCTTTAGGGTCCCTTCCAACCCAAACCATTCTGTCATTCTATGAGCACGTGATATTACAGAGAGGGTTAGGGTCACGGGGTTATTGATTATCAAAATCACTGTCTGAAATGTGCCCTTTTCCAGGTAATTCTTCCATCAAATGTCATTGAGTGACGCTGTTTTGAGAATATGTAGAATCCTTCCAAGAATTTTACTGAACCCATTTAAGTACTGTACTGCCTCTCTTTGAGGGCTGACTTTCAGGTATACCTTAAAAATCACCTCGAATGGATAGTTCTGTGGTTTTTACTGCCCTCTGGAGAAGTAGGTCTTTTCAAGGAAAGCAGAGCTAAGGATGTCTGGACAGGTTTTTGCATCTGCTGTAAAATGCCGTATTTTGGTCCATGTTGGGTTCTTGAGCTCTCGTTCCTGTTGAGAGCACCAAGGTCGGATTGTAGTTGTCGTGTGTGGTGTCGTACTTTCTGTTTCACTCTTCTTTCAAAACTGAACTGGCAAGGAAAATACAGGTGTGGCTTTTTCAGCTAACGGTTGGTTTTGAATAAAGTACCAGAAAGCAGGCATCTCTGTGGCAGTGTTTTCAAGCATGCTTGTCCCAGTTACGTCTTTTTTTTTCTGTGATGGAGATGGGTTATTAGTCACCTAGATCTGACCTGATCACACGTCAGGAATCAGAGAATAGTTTGGGTTGGAAGGGACCTTAAAGAGCATCTAGTTCCACCCCCCCTGCCATGGGCAGGGACACCTTCCACTAGACCAGGTTGCTCAAAGCCTCATCCAGCCTGGCCTTGAACACTTCCAGGGATGGGGCATCCACAGCTTCTCTGGGCAGCCTGTTCCAGTGCCTCACCACCCTCTCCGTGGTGTTTGTGGCAGTGCATCGCCATGCTTGCTTACTGTCTGGAAAGGAAAGCTTTTGGACAGCCTGATCAGCGGAAAGGTGATCTCTGACACTGTTAACATGACTAACGTTATGTTACTGTTAACGTGACATAACGCAGTATGAATAAAACTCTGGTTTTAAAGCGGAGTTATGTTATTTCTTTTCCAGGTTGCACGACTTATGGAAATGGGTTTTTCCAGGGGAGATGCTCTAGAAGCTCTGAGGGCTTCAAATAATGACTTAAACGTAGCCACTAATTTTCTACTGCAGCACTGATGGTTTTCTGTGTGAAGGAACTTCCCTCAGTGGGTTTGTACACGTCTGAAAGAGGATCAAAGCCACCTGCTGGACAGACTCACGAAGGTCCTACCCACAAGAGCGTCAGAAAAGAGAAACTGGCTCCCCGTGACCAGTGATTCAAAGTGATGTTCAGGAATGACGTGAACTGTTCCCAAGCCTTCAGATCACTTGGTGGTTTCTAGTCTGGTTATCCTTTTCAGAGTAACTTTAGTTTCTACTTATTACTGGATATCACATAAATTTATTTTTAAAATAAAGTAGGTGGGGTTTTGTTTTTTCCTTGTAAATCCTTGTTAAACATGTTATCAGACTTAATGACTAGGAAGAGAAGCTCCAACAACCACAGCGACTAGATTTACCCATGAAGAAAATTTGTATTTTCTTCATTTACCAGTCTAATTTCTCTAGCTTACATGTTATTTTACAGGACTTGATTATTGATTACAGTCATAAGAGTTTTGAAGATCACTTCATTTTCAACTCAGTAAAAGGTTATGGGACGACTGTGTCATTCTTCAGAAAGTTTTATTAATGCCTGTAATATTTTCTCTCTTGAAATCCTTTTTAAATAAAAGTTGCTGTTCAGCACACCATACACAGATAGGATGCGAGAACATTCGTGTGCGCATTGCAAGCTGTGGTAAGTGACCACTGTAAACTGAAGTTTCACAAACTGAGTAAGTTGCTACTCCTTGGATACAGGTCATGAACATACTCGCTGGAAGCAATAAAGGTGAATGGAATGCTCCCATAAGATCAGGAGTGAAATGATTTGAATGACTTCCACATCTAATTCAGAATTCTGTGATGATGGATGTGTGCTCAGTGTCCTGCATGCTGGTTTCCTTTTTTGAGCTGGCTACATACTGTCTTAAAAGAAAATGATAAAAAGGTAACTTTCCTATATATAGTTCTAGTTTTCTGCTGTCAGAGATGTGGATGACCCTGCATTTCCTGAATCCTCACTGCCTCAAGCAGCTCACTGCTGATTGTAGGCTGGAATATTAACCTTCAGGGTGATTCAGGCTAACCCGGGAGGTAACAGGACGCTGATGCCAAGGCAGCACAGTGTTGGTTTTGAAGTTCAGATTGGCAAATAAACTTAATTGGCTTGACGCTCAGAAGTGCTCCGTATGAGCTCCTTGGGAGTTTCTGGAGGTGAGGTAGAGGCGAGCGTCTGTATAAAACCAAGCTGAAGTAATACAGGATTCCAAACTGCCTCCTTGAAACCCGTCTGCTTGTGTATGTCAAGCATTTAACATATTTTTCTGTAGGTACTTTTGTTTGTACATCCTGTGCATGTCTGTCTCTGTTCATGTGCACGCAGGCATATTGAGTGCATGCCTTAAGAAGAAGACAGAGGTCATGGGAAGCGTGACAAAAGCAATAGCAGTTGTGAAGGGGAGGAGGTGAGAGAGTGCAGAACGGAGAAGGATGTTTTGAACACCCCAGTGTACATGTGACAAAGTACAGACCTGTTCAGTCTCACTTGGCCTGGAGAATATGCTGGGAAAAGACAGGACAGGATTTAGGGAGAGGAACGTACCTTTTTTTTTTTTAAATTTACTTCATTTTAGGGGTTTATTTTAATTGACTGTTAAAACTGAAAAAAGTCTTTCAGGCATACAAGTCCTTATCCAAAAATGACATCTAATTTGTGCAGCTTTAGGCACGTGACATAATTTGTAATAAAGTCAATGTCCTGTATGAATCTTTTAGTGTTTTCCAGTGGGTGAAATATGGGATTTTTGGAATGACTGTGTGTTTTCCTGGGCTATGATCCACCTCCTTCAGTGTTTGGCTTGCTGCTAAATCACATTATTTAGACAGGGTCTGCTTTTTAATTGAAAGGTTTCATTTGTGTCAAGCTGAGTGACTCTCCGTGTGTGTAGGCTGGGAACGTTTCTGTGCCCAGAGAGCTCTGTAAACCTGCTGTCTTACAAAACAAAGGGCATATGTAAGGAAAAAAACCCTACAAGAATCTGTGTATGTAAACTAGTTAAATGCTTTGAAACAAGTACAGGTTTTAATTTTGAAACATACAGATTCTTCCTTCACAAATACTTTATCAAAAGTAGCGATAAAGACTAGTGAATTACTTAAGAAGTCAAATTTTGTGCATAGGAAATAAAAGTCAACCTAGGCCAGGGGAAATTAAGTATGACCTGTGCCCTTTCAGACACGGCCCTGCTCTAGGGACAAGTACAAAGTGCATTCGTTCCCTGAAATTTTAAAACTTGTGGAGCAGCACCTGGGATGCTTCTCCAGGTCTGAATCATTTCTTACTGTTACCTCTACAAGTGGTATCCGAAGGTCACAGTTGTGTGGAAAACACCATTTTGCTGGGCATTTTGCAGAACATCATCCAGCGTAAGGGGTAAAATTCAGGTAAATTCAGGTCTTGGTGATGTCAGCTGTAAACTTCCCTTGAAATCTGTGAGAACAGTTTGTGCTCAAAATGCTTCCAAGGGTTGTGATTTCCAATTACTGAAAAAGAAGTGGTAAAAGGAGGGGTCTCGGATGCCGTTGAGCACAGTTCCTCTTTCGCACAAGAACCATAGGAGAAAGACTCTCACGTTAGAGCTGGAAAACAACTAGGTTTCCACGTGACGGTGAAACTTTCAGGGACTGTTTCTGGGAATGCGAGGAGCGTGTTCTTCACAGCCCACGCAGCGTCTGTCCAGTACAGGTTTGACTGTCTCTTCGCACAGTTTCTGTTTTGTGTGTGACCCAAAGATTGTTTTAAGGCAGCGAGAGGAGGCAGGATACTTCTCTATGGAGAAGATGTTAAGTCCCCAGGAAATTCACGCTGGTTTTAGTAAAGCCAAGATTGGGTATTTGTAAATAGAAGTAGAGGCTGCTGTTAAAATTTTTCTACTAGAGTGGGAATGTTGTGTTCTGAGACAACATCGGAGTCATTTACTGGGGACTTTCCTAGACGGTTGTGTGCGACTCTGAAACACGCCCACAGGGAGGTTTGCATTTGTGGAAATCTGCCTGATAAGCCGCTGGGTTCTCAAGCCTGAACTTTCTGTTAAGACGCAGAATGATTGGGCCCCGTACCAACTGAACCCGTTTTCCTCTTCCAAAGCAAGCGTTACGGGTTGCGTGCCGCTGACGTGAGCACGTGGGCCGGCACGCTTGGTTCGTGTGCCGACGCGTGCTGTCTCGCGCTTGTTGGTGCCTTGGCGAACGCGCGATGGAGAAAAGGGGTCGTTACTCCTGTCTGAAACACGAGAAGGAGTGAGCAAAGCGTATTGCGAGGTTCTGGGCAAATGGCAATGGGTCGGCTCTCCTGTTGGTGTATGTGTATATATACATGCGTGTGCATATATACACAGAGGGAGTCAGGATATTTATGTGTTGATTGGGTGAATTTCGCTGGAGCTAAAAGTTTGTTGAGGAGGATTAAAGGTCTGTATTCAAAGACTCCTGTCGCTCAAACCCGTCTGTATGTGGAGTGTGTACGCAGTTTTCAGGGCACCCATATCTGAAAATGCTCAGAACTGCAACCCTCATGTTGTAGGGACACTGCATCTGTCTGAAGATAAATGAATGCACAGTGTTCTGCGCTAAAGGGGGATTGACACATGAGTGCAATTAATTTCTTGTGTGTGTTCTTCTGCAAGAAAAGCCACATGAGATCAGCTGTTTTGATGGGAGAGTCACACGAACACACCAATGCTGTATGTGTTTCTATATGTGCACAACATATATAGGTATATGTGTGCGTATATATGTATATGTGTGTATATATACACACATATATATGTGTATGTGCTTATTTAAAACACACTGGGTTTGACTTAATGTTTAGTAGGATTGTGTTCCTCCTGTTTCCATACATAGAGGTGCTTTGACTACAGAAAATCCTCTCTTGATTGAAAGTCCAAGAGGGTTACAGGCTACCTAGAGTTTTTAGTCCAAATATAAGACGAGAAACCAATGACAGGAGCAGGGGAATGGTACAACCTGGTGAATGGGTGTGACTGGCGAGAATCTCAACCTCATTAAGTTCAACAAGGCC